GTGAAGAAGAAGAGATTTTGAGCACCGGAACACTTTGTTTATTGTCCTGAGCTTTCGGACTCGTACAGGAGTTCATCTTCAGAGATAGTAGCAGCAACAGAACAAGCGACAGTTATAGGGCATGTAGGCCAATCATCGACTGACGGCGCAAGACTGGAGGTGACTGCGCAGGGCTCTGTACGTCGGCGCCAGATCGATAAGTCAATTAACTGAGTTCTTATCCTACCGTTAGCCTCAGACTTTCCGAAGCTCCAACGTACGAAGAATGGATAACCATCAGGCTTACTTTGCGCATTGTCCGGCACAAGTCGAACTTACGGAGCTAACCCCCGAATAAGGCAGTTTGCAGGAAAGTCCAGAGGCCAAGGCTGACTGGAATGCCCATGCCTCGATTACTGGTTGTGTCCAGACAGCCAAGCCCAATCCCTGATCTGGGTAACCTGGAATCCGAACCCGTTTGTTCCAGCATTCTACCACCGAGCCATAAACCTGCTTTGTCCTGTCAATTGCGACAGGGAATATTAATCATCGTGGGAGGTGCGTTCATACATCAGATGCAGTCACTATCTGTCGATTTTATAAGCAGCACCATATTCAGACAAATGACAATCGAGTTCCCATGGACCTCCAGAACTTAAGGGAGTCTATTTATCAAGTAAATGACTTAGTCTGCTGTGAGGGGTGATTTCACCGATCAGGTTGCGGGGGTATGCCCGTGGCGGTCTGCTTCCTAGTCAGTCACGCCTATCCAATCAGGTCACTCAACTTCAAGGCCGACACAGTCATGATTTCGCTCAAGGTCATATGACTATGTCCCCATGGCTAAGTACCTGTGCTGTTAGTATGGCATCAGCTTACCTTAAAGTATACCACTAGCTGCCTGTCGGCAGTTAATGAGGCTAGGTCGCAGTTGGTAGCCAGGAATGGGGAAGCGCACGGCGACCTTAACCCTAATCCTAACCTTAACCCTAACCCTAACTTCAACCTTAAACGTTAACCCTAACGGCAACCCTAAAGCTAACCGAAATCGTAAACGCAACCGTAGCCCTTGTACGTAGCCGTAACTGGAAAACCTAACCGTAATACTGATGCCTATTCGTACGCTCAAACCCTAACCCGAAAACCTAAGCCTAAAGGCATAACCCTAATCCGAAAAATCGGAAACCATTAACCGGTACCCTAATCCTAACCTCAAACATAAATCGAAAGGCAAATGGGTCAGATGTGATTATGAAGCCCCATAAAATAGCCCCAGTAAACAAACCCCCCGCTACCTGTAATAGGGGTCCTGGCTACCAACTGCGATCTAGCAGTTAATGAATATTACGCGGTTACCCGCTGTGGCTGATGGACTTCGGCCCAAATATTCATGTTTACAATTCACGGTCTGCGCCCATAGACCTTAACTAAACTGATCTGCTCCAACATCGTAGATACTTTCTGAGGAAATTAGGAAGCGACAATTTCTAACTTGGAGTATCTACCAGAAAACACGCAGGGAATGCTGAGGGACTCACTGACGAGCCGAACCCCTCGCGGCTGCGCCATGCAGCGGCAGAATATCGGCAAAACACGCGTGTATAGGCTTTTGGCTAGTACCTGTGCTGTTAGTATGGAATCACTTTACCCTAAAGTATACTACTAGCTGCCTGTCGGCAGTTAATGAATATTACCCGGTTACCCGCTGTAGCTGATGGACTTTGGCCCAAATATTCATGCATAAAATTCTCGGTCCGGGCCTATAGACCTTGAATCAACTGATCTACTCCAACGTCGTAGATAATTTCTTAGGAAATTAAAAAGCGGCAAGTTCTAAATTGGAGTTTCTACGAGAAAACACACAGGGAATGCTGAGGGATCCACTGACGAGCCGAACCCATCGCGGCTGCGCCATGCAGCGGCAGAATATCGGCAAAACACGCGTGTATGGGCTTTTGGCTAGTGCCTGTGCTGTTAGTATGGAATCACCTTACCCTAAGGTATGTCCCACTCTCAGTCAGGACATGTGTCGTCCTTCGGCCGCCAACCTGTTCGCAAATCATTCTGTCCCACTAGCGCCCAGTCCAGTTCCCTCGAAGAAAGCGGCATAGCGATCAGTAATAATGCAAAAGGTGGGCTCTAGATTAAGTCCCAAAGTGTAAGGGAACGAGGCCGTCGGCAAACTCACTTCCTACGACAGATAAAGAGTCATTTATACCATAAATAGACTCCTTCGAGTTCTGGGAACCCGTGGAACCCCCGCTGTTATCTGACTGAATATGGCGCTGCCTGTAAAATTGACAGATAGTGACTGTCCGCGTTTGGTTAATGCACCAGCGCGCCCCAGGTGAATCCTCTGCCGGTCCTATTTGGAAGGTCCTCTAGCTCTCCCATCAATGCCGTGTAGGTATTTATGGGACTGAGTGAGGGGATACCGCTGGTAGTTGGGGAAATT